TCTTGATTTGGTCTGTTGATTTATGTTCTGATTCCAAAAACATACAAGACATTTATAATTCTTGTATATTTCTAAAACAAGATCATTTGAATTTGTCACATTGGCAGATCTTATTTGAAGGCAGTGAAAATGTGCCCAATTTGCCAAAGTTGAGCAATTATTTTCAATTAAATATTTTCATTTATTATTTTCTTCTCCTGCACGTACAGATTTTGAGGACAGTGAAAGAAATAAAGTCAGTGTTATACTACTGTTGGTCTCCTATATCCTGACTTTGAATCCATTTTCTAAACCCATTTCTAAAGAAGAAGAAAATAACCCCCTCCAGCCCCTCCCCTGATCTTCCCACTCCTGTCGGGAGCAAGAAAAAAATAATAAGCTGCACCCAGTACACAGAGCACCCGCCCCTCACTGATCCTCCTGCAGGTGCTGAGTCCACAGGAGCCGAGATCTTCCAGCTGGGGCTCCAGGCAAAGTGGGGTTGTCTTGCCCAAGGACACACCAACAGCAGTCATCAGTGGGAGTCGTGAAGTAGGTCTCATCGTGGGCTCGAAAACACAACCTTCAGGCCCAAAGGCCAATGCTCTACCAACTGAGCCACTGTCGCCCAGGTGTAATAATAACTGGGCGACAGTGGCTCATATAATATAATATATCTAATAATAATAATAATAATAATAATAATAATAATATCAATAACACTAATGATAACTAGAAACTTGCAATGGCTGAAGCCATTGCGATTGACTGCGGAACAGATCTAATGTGGAAATCTGCTAAAAAAAATCCTTGAAATCCTTTAAAAGGCCTTGAAACTGTTAAAATACTTGATAGATATTTGAAACTCCTGAAGTCCTTGAAATTGTTGAAACCTTTAAACTCCTTAAATCCTTGAAACTGTTGAAACATTGAAACTCCTGAAATCCTTGAAACTTTTTTAAACCTGGAAACTGTTGAAAGTGTGGAAACTCCTGAAATCCTTGAACCTCCTGATATCCTTGAAACTGGTTAAATTCTTAAACAGTTGAAATCCTTGAAACTACTGAATGTATTGAAAGTGTCCTTGAAACTGAAAAATCCCCTCACCGCTGAAACAATTTGGTTCCTGTAACTAAGGAAACCTGGTCTGTGGTCATTATCTGGTGGTGGTCTGAGTCTTCGTTTGGGTCTTGGTCTGGTGGTATAATGCAACCTATTAGGTTGCATTATACTGGTTTACATGGAAAAATCCCTATTAGGTTGCATTATACTGGTTTACATGGAAAAATCCCTATTAAGTTGCATTATACTGGTTTACATGGAAAAATCTCTATTAAGTTGCATTATACTGGTTTACATGTAAAAACCCCTATTAAGTTCCATTATACTGGTTTACATGTAAAAACCCTATTAAGTTGCATTATACTGGTTTACATGAAAAAAACCCTATTAAGTTGCATTATACTGGTTTACATGGAAAAATCCCTATTAAGTTGCATAATACTGGTTTACATGGAAAAATCCCCATTAAGTTGCATTATACTGGTTTACATGAAAAAAACCCTATTAAGTTGCATTATACTGGTTTACATGGAAAAATCCCTATTAAGTTGCATTATACTGGTTTACATGGAAAAATCCCTATTAAGTTGCATAATACTGGTTTACATGGAAAAATCCCCATTAAGTTGCATTATACTGGTTTACATGTAAAAAACCCTATTAAGTTGCATTATACTGGTTTACATGGAAAAATCCCTATTAAGTTGCATTGTACTGGTTTACATGGAAAAAAACCTATTAAGTTGCATTATACTGGTTTACATGGAAAACACCCTATTAAGTTGCATTATACTGGTTTACATGTAAAAACCCCTATTAAGTTGCATTATACTGGTTTACATGGAAAAATCCCCATTAAGTTGCATTATACTGGTTTACATGAAAAAACCCTATTAAGTTGCATTATACTGGTTTACATGGAAAAATCCCTATTAAGTTGCATTATACTGGTTTACATGGAAAAATCCCTATTAAGTTGCATTATACTGGTTTACATGGAAAAATCCCTATTAGGTTGCATTATACTGGTTTACATGTACAAATCCCTATTAAGTTGCTTTATACTGGTTTACATGTAAAAACCCCTATTAGGTTACATTATAGTGGTTTACATGTAAAAATCCTTATTAAGTTGCATTATACTGGTTTACATGTAAAAACCCCTATTAAGTTCCATTATACTGGTTTACATGTAAAAACCCTATTAAGTTGCATTATACTGGTTTACATGAAAAAAACCCTATTAAGTTGCATTATACTGGTTTACATGGAAAAATCCCTATTAAGTTGCATAATACTGGTTTACATGGAAAAATCCCTATTAAGTTGCATTGTACTGGTTTACATGGAAAAAACCCTATTAAGTTGCATTATACTGGTTTACATGGAAAAAACCCTATTAAGTTGCATTATACTGGTTTACATGTAAAAACCCCTATTAAGTTGCATTATACTGGTTTACATGGAAAAATCCCCATTAAGTTGCATTATACTGGTTTACATGAAAAAAAACCCTATTAAGTTGCATTATACTGGTTTACATGAAAAAACCCTATTAAGTTGCATTATACTGGTTTACATGGAAAAATCCCTATTAAGTTGCATTATACTGGTTTACATGGAAAAATCCCTATTAGGTTGCATGATTACACTGAAGTCCTTGAAACTGCTGAAGTCCTTGAAACTGCTGAAGTCCTTGAAACTGTTGAAGTCCTTGAAACTCTTGAAATCTTGAAACTGCTGAAATCCTTGAAACTGTTGAATCCTTGAAACTGTTGAATCATTGAAACTGTAGAAATGTCTGAAAGAGCTGAAGTCCTATTAAAATGCATGGGCCTATTAAAATGCATTGCAGAATTCTCAATGCAGATTTTTGTCCGATTGCGGAAAAACCGGAAATCGCTGAAGTCCCAAAAGTAATAGCAATAATCTCCCAAACATGTGGAACGTTTTGATGTATAACTTGTGGAAATTGTTGAAAATGTGAAAGCTGTGAAACGTGTCAAAAAAAATGACGGAATAAAGAAATACAAAACCAATGGTTGACTGCGGAAGGTTCCGCAGTCAATCAATTAGATTACATTTATTCTTGTATAGCCACAGTTTCCCTGGGGCAGAATGACAGAAGCGAGGCAACCAGTATGTGCCATCAGCCCCTCCGACCACCACCAACCATTCACAAACACACCAGACTCATTCTAGGCAATGGGGGTGAAGTGTGAAGGCAGCTCCCAGGCGGGGAGGGGGTACAGCCCACGAGTCGGGGGTCCCATCATCATGCCATGGCAGACTATGGGACAGCGGGTGAATAGCAATGAACGGACTACAGCCAAAAGTCATAATGATGACAGTGTGGTGGTTTACATAATTCACCCATGGAACTGTGGTTACTCTGGTGGGGTTCCGGGGGGACAGGAAAAAGGGTTGCACAGTTTTTCCCATGAAGAAAAATGTTTTTGGTTGTGTGAGGAGTTCTGTTACACTGGCTGTTTTATGGCATTAAAACGTGTACGTTTGTCACCGCTGTTTGACACACCGCCTCCGACTCCGCTCCTTACGCACCACATTGGTGACCCCGACGTCAGTCCCGCAGAAGTTTCTGGGACTGATCAAGATACAGAGCAAAGCAGTATGGCGCAGTCCGCCGCTCTCAAGCTGCCTGAGTTTTGGGAGACGTCCGCCGCAACGTGGTTTGCTCAGGCGGAGGCTCAGTTCGCCCTCCGTGGAATTACTGACGATGACACGCGCTATTACCATGTCGTCTCGGCGCTCGGGAGCTCCACGGCGACCAGGGCAGTGAGTTTCATTACTTCTCCTCCAGCCCACGGGAAGTATGCGGGGATTAAGGCATATCTGCTGAAGATTTTTGAACTGTCACGATCCGAACGGGCCCGACGCCTCCTTTCTATGCAGGGCCTGGGGGATAGCAGGCCCTCAGAACACATGGAGGTGATGTTAAACCTGCTGGGCAGTGAAGAGCCAAATTTCCTCTTTGTGGAACTGTTTCTGCGACACATGCCACCTCACGTGCAGACGGCTCTCGCGAATACAGCCATTACGGAGCCACGTGCTCTGGCGGAGGAGGCGGACCGGTTCTTCCTGGCCACCCATCGTTTCGTCCCTGACGTGTTGGCCCCGACACGCAGCTACACCCCCCCTGCTGCGGCCGCTCTGCCTGTTAGGGGGCGCATGGTGACTGACGGCCCGGCCAGCCCTGGGTTGTGCTACTTCCATGCACGTTTCGGGGCCAAAGCTAAGAGGTGCCGCTCCCCATGCAGTTTCAACGCGACGGGAAACGCCAAGGCCTGCGCTCAGTAGTGGCCGTGAGCGCAGGCGCGAAGGGCCGGCTGCTGTTTGTTGTGGACACCCTGTCCGGGCGCAGGTTCCTCTGTGACACTGGCGCCCAGAGGAGCGTTCTGCCGGCTACGGTGGACGATGCTGCTGGGGGGTTGCATGGCCCGCCCTTAACGTCCGCCAATGACACCCCTATCCGGACATATGGCACAAAGTCTGTGGACGTATGTTTCGGGGGCCAGCGCTTTACATGGGACTTTGTCACGGCCGATGTCTCGTTTCCCCTCCTCGGGGCAGATTTTCTGTGCGCCCAGGGGTTACTCGTGGATGTCAAAAATGGCCGCCTGGTGGACGCTTTGACCTTCTCCTCATTCGCGTGTGTCCGTGATGAGGGGACATACAATGGTCTCTCCAGCTCGCTCGCTGAAGGTGACAAGTACCTGCGGCTCCTCGTGGAGTTCCCTGACCTGACGCGGCCCACTTTCTCGGCTGCTACGGCTAAACACGGAGTCGAACACCACATCGAAACCAGAGGCCCTCCTATCCACGCCAGGGCCCGGCGGCTCAATCCGGAGAGGTTGACGACTGCCAAGGCTGAATTCGCCAACATGGAACGACTTGGCGTCATTCGCCGTTCTGACAGCCCGTGGGCTTCACCACTCCACATGGTTCCGAAGCCAGACGGTGGGTGGCGTCCGTGTGGTGACTACCGCCGTCTTAATGATGCGACCACGCCCGATCGTTACCCGGTGCCCCACATTCAGGACTTTTCCGTACATTTGGCGGGGAAGTCCGTGTTCTCTAAAGTGGATCTGGTGCGGGGTTACCACCAAGTCCCGGTGCACCCGGCGGACATACCGAAGACGGCAGTGGTGACTCCTTTCGGGCTGTTCGAGTTCCTCAGGATGCCTTTTGGCCTGAAGAACGCAGCCCAGTCGTTCCAGCGGCTAATGGACTCGGCACTCAGGGACATGCCTTTCATCTTCGTCTACTTGGACGATGTCCTCGTCGCCAGCTCCTCGGAGGAGGAGCACCTGACACATCTCCGAGTTCTTTTTACACGGCTCGACCAGCACGGGCTGATCATTAACCCGGCTAAGTGTGTTTTTGGGGTGCCGTCCATAAAGTTCCTCGGGCATCTCATCACCAGTGAGGGGGCTGCCCCCCTCCCTTCGAAGGTGGACGCCGTTTCCACTTTTCCACGCCCACGCTCGGCCCGGGGGCTCCGTGAGTTCCTCGGTATGGTTACCTTCTACCATCGGTTCATTCGACAAGCGGCTCACGTAATGCGCCCGCTCTACGAGGCCCTTAAGGGTACGACCCCCAACCAGGACGTTGTCTGGACCGCGGAGGCGGACCAGGCCTTCGAGGACACAAAAGTTGCGTTGTGCCAGGCCACTATGTTGGTCCACCCGTCACCTGGGGCCCCGGTTGCCCTCACTACTGACGCGTCCGACTATGCCGTGGGTGCCGTGTTCGAGCAGTGGGTCGAGGGTACCTGGCAACCGCTCGCCTTTTTCAGCCGCCAGCTAGTCCCCAGGGAGCGTAAATACAGCACCTTTGACAGAGAGCTGCTCGCTGTTTGGTTGGCAATCCGCCACTTCCGCTTCGTCCTGGAGGGCCGTGAGTTTACGGTTTTTGTTGACCACAAGCCCCTTACATTCTCCATGTCTAAGGTGGCCGAGCCGTGGTCCGCCCGCCAGCAGCGCCAGCTGGCGTTCATCTCGGAGTATACCACGGACATACGACACATTGCCGGCAAATCCAATGTGGTTGCGGATTGTCTTTCCAGGGCGGTCGTTGGTGCGGTCCAGCTCGGACTAGACTACGCGCGTATGGGTGCGGACCAGGCCGCAGACCGCACCCTTCAGTCCCTCAAGGACTCGGACACTGGACTGCAGCTGGGAAAGGTCGCGGTCGGCGCTTCTGGGGTCGGGTTGTGGTGTGACCTCTCTACTGGCCAGCCCAGGCCTCTGGTCCCCGCCAGCTGGCAGCGGTCTGTTTTTGAGACTATACACGGCCTGTCCCATCCTGGCAGAAAGGCATCTGTTAGGCTTGTATCGCAAAAGTTCGTCTGGAGAGGACTCAAGAGGGATGTGCGGGCCTGGGTTGATTCTTGTGTGGCCTGTCAGCGTGCTAAGGTGCACCGCCATACCAAGGCCCCGTTAGAACCTTTTGTTGTTCCGGAGAGGAGGTTTGACCACGTTAACATCGACCTGGTGGGGCCGCTTCCCCCTTCACGTGGTTTCACTTACCTCCTCACGATGGTAGACAGGACGACGCGCTGGCCTGAGGCTGTTCCCCTCGCCTCTATCACGGCTGCCGATGTGGCTCGGGCGTTCATTGGCACGTGGGTTTCACGTTTCGGTACGCCCTCTGATCTATCCTCTGACCGGGGTGCGCAGTTTACCTCGGAGGTCTGGAACGCTGTGGCGGGGGGTTTGGGTGTCAAGTTGCACCGCACCACCGCATACCACCCCCAGGCTAACGGACTGTGTGAACGTTTCCACCGCTCTATGAAGGCTGCCCTTCGGGCCAGCCTGACAGACGGCAACTGGGTTGACAAACTGCCCTGGGTCATGCTTGGCCTTAGGACCGCCCCCAAGGAGGATCTGCAGTCCTCGTCCGCCGAGCTTGTTTACGGCCAGGCTTTGCGGGTGCCTGGGGATTTTATACCGGATGCTACGAGACCTTGGTCTGCTACCGAACAGCGGTCCTCCCTGCGGGAGGTGGCCACGGGGTTTGCGCCTGTTCCTACGTCGCAGCACTGCTCCCCTGAGTCCCGGATGCCCGCTGGCCTCCGCTCTGCGTCGTTTGTTTTCGTCCGCCACGACGCCCACCGTGGACCGCTGCGTCCCCCTTACGACGGCCCGTTTAAGGTTTTGCAGCATGGGGACAAGAGCCTGGTCGTGGACATTGGGGGTAGGCCTGAAACTATTTCCGTTGATAGGATCAAGCCTGCTCATGTGGACATTTCCAGACCGTTGGTGTTGGCCCAGGCCCCGCGCCGCGGACGCCCCCCAGTACTTTGTTCCCCTGGTCAGTCGGGAGTTCCTTCGACCGGGACGGTGCCGGCTGCGTCCCCCGCTTCCCTCCCCTCAGCCCCTGCCACTTGTACTCGGAGTGGTCGGGCCATCATTCCATTCCGGAGTGGGGATTTTGACTATGGTTGAATTCTGGGGGGGCTTGTGTGGTGGTTTACATAATTCACCCATGGAACTGTGGTTACTCTGGTGGGGTTCCGGGGGGACAGGAAAAAGGGTTGCACAGTTTTTCCCATGAAGAAAAATGTTTTTGGTTGTGTGAGGAGTTCTGTTACACTGGCTGTTTTATGGCATTAAAACGTGTACGTTTGTCACCGCTGTTTGACACACCGCCTCCGACTCCGCTCCTTACGCACCACAACAGATAGAGTAGAAAGGACAAGAGATTTTGTTTGCCATAGTGTGAAAATAAAACTAAGACCCCAGGAATTGTGGACTTCCACAAGTCTGATGGTAGGAAAAGTGATTATGAATCCGAGAACAACAGTCAATGTATCAATATTTGGGGTAAAAAAGCTGAAAGGCAGCTCAGCCATCAGAGAGGCCACGGCAGCAACCACCATCATATATACAGACTATATTTTGCAGGGATACAGGCTTTACTTTCTGGTTGTCTAATTATCATACATTTTAACAGTGTTTTGGTGTAAAAGTGGTGTAAGTGTAATAAGGGTGTAACAAAAGAATTATTTATACAACAATTATTTAAAAAAATAAAAGCTATACCCGATCTATTTTCTAATGAGTTCATAAAAATGCGTATGTATACAAGTTCTATGAAAATCCGTAATTTAATTGAAAACTTAAGCTAATTGATTCAGCTTGTGTATGAATTCAGGCCGTAAAAAGTGCTGAGTAGAAACTTAGCGTGACGCTAGCTCTCCTCCAATCACAGAACGAGGAGCGGCGCTGTTATGAGCAGCCAGGCGGCGTCCTCTAGCGTCTGCTGGTTAACACAGCAGCATGTTAGCAGAAAGGGGCTATACCTCCTCTGGCTGTAACAGCAGACCAAGCCCCGGCGATCCAAGATGGCGCCCTGTTCAAATGAATGGTTGTGCTCAGTGGCGCTTTGTGACGGCATGGGGGCTGAAAGATTAGCGGAAGTTGCCTGAAACTCGCAAAGATCTATGGGAAACTCGCCTGTATTTGGGCATCGTCTGGTCCTCCCGGTTCTGCGCAGTGGATGATCTCCCATAATGCGTTGCGCCAAACACGCGTGTGTGGGTCTCACACCAGGTTTAAAAAAATAAAAGCTATACCCGATCTATTTTCTAATGAGTTCATAAAAATGCGTATGTATACAAGTTCTATGAAAATCCGTAATTTAATTGAAAACTTAAGCTAATTGATTCAGCTTGTGTATGAATTCAGGCCGTAAAAAGTGCTGAGTAGAAACTTAGCGTGACGCTAGCTCTCCTCCAATCACAGAACGAGGAGCGGCGCTGTTATGAGCAGCCAGGCGGCGTCCTCTAGCGTCTGCTGGTTAACACAGCAGCATGTTAGCAGAAAGGGGCTATACCTCCTCTGGCTGTAACAGCAGACACAGCAAAACAGCCCAAACAACGCAACAGTGAGGAAGAGAAGAGGGAACTAAAGCGAAAAAATCAAACCCGGTGAACATAGCTAGCTTACACCGTTTCCTCGCTGGAGAGACCTGTGGGAGTGGGATCGCCTCGGACTACATTTGGACGCAAAACTAGCGGAAATCTTTCGGTTATATATTTTGTTAGCAGCACGTTGCTTTTGTACCATTTCATCAGTGATTGTTGTGCAGCCTACAAGAAGTTGCGCTAATGCTAATGTTTGCACCAGTGGGGGCGGGTCCCGGCTCAAAAGTGGAAAAAAATGACGTGCGCTGACATACTTGCAATACCACCCCGGGCCGATGGGGGTGGACCCGGAATAAGAATTAGCCAATGCTAACATATAGCATTAGCTGACCTCTCGAAAACGTCTTTACAGGATGGACCGAAAGTTGGCTCTTGGCCCAAAGCTCCGTTCCACATGTGTGTCAATGCTGAGGGGGGTGATTTTTTTGGACCAGTCTCGTTTACTCGCTGTGAATTTTTGAAGGCACTCGTTAAATGAATGGGGCTCGTGCCGGCTGACGCATGCGCAGATGTGTTTTTTCACATTTTCCAGCCACGGGGGCCATTTTGAAACTGCCCATAGACCTCGGAAGTTGTGGCACATTAGATAGAACGGCAGAGATAGGCGCCACGTTAATATTTACAGTCTATGGTTAGCATACGTATCAAATTACAAATAAAACTAGATGGCTTCGTGGGAGGGGAAATGAGAAGCCTGTGAGCGAGTTGGGGGGCGGTGCTAAACACTCAAACTGAAAAATACCATGCAGAATCAGGTATATCTCCTTTAAAGTGTTTTATGTTTTTGTTTTTTACAGAGAGCACAATTACTCACAACACTGTAGTCCAAGACTTTCCAGGATCATTGGACAACAAAACAGAACAAAGGCATTGAGGAAGACTGAACCATCACATCTAATCAACTTTTTGATATTTTTTGCCATACAACCAAAATGATAAAAACTTTGTTCAATGTATCTCTGACACCAGTTATTTCAATACTAAACACTTACAATTCAATACTATAGATTGAATTGAAAGTGATATTTTTTGTTCACTGACAAACATTTCAGGTTGTTTTTCCCTGCTCAAGAGCTGTTTATGTAAGGCTGTACTGAGGCATGCTAATTACAGAGTGCAGAAGCCCGGGATTATGATGACAGCCCTGGGAAGTAGATGTAGCATGTAAGACAGCATTGCACAGCAGTTGTTTTTCTCAATGGGAGACAGCTGCTCTTTCACATGACACTGCAGCCAATCAGCGACCAATTGATCTGACACCAAATATTAGCTATAGCTACTGCTTTGCACCTGCTTATCTAGAGCAATCTCACTCCTAGCCGGTGGGGGTGTACCCGGAAGGAGAATTACCCAAGGCTTTTGTATGGCGTTTTCTTTCCTCTCAAAAACGGCTTTACAGGATGGTCCAAAAGTCGGCTCTTGGCCCAACGTTACGTTCCAGATGTGTGTCAATGCTGAGGGAAGCATTTTCCTTTGGACCAGTCTAGTTTAGCCTCTCTGGACTTTTTAATTAACTTCTTGAATGAATAGGGCTCAGGACACGTGCGCAAATGCGTTTTTTCCATAGACTGTATATATTAACGGATGTAGTCATGCCTATCTCTGCTGCTCTAACTAATGGACCAAAAAATGGGCTTTCATGGAGTGATTCAAAATGGCCGTGGGGGCTGGAAAACGTGAAAAGACGCATCTGCGCATGCGTCAACCGGCACGAGCCCCATTCATTTAAACGAGTGACTTCAAAAATTTACAGCGCGTAAACTAGACTGGTCCAAAAAAATTCACTCCCCTCAGCATTGACACACATGTGGAACCAACTTTGGGCCAAGAGCCAACTTTTGTATATATATATATATTTAACAGTCTATGATCTTGAGGGAGTTCACATGTTGCTCTGTTGTGTTAAAGTATTTGATTTGTGTTAAGGAGTCTGAAGTTTTTGTAATCAATATCTCTTCTTGCTTTTCATTTCTTCAAAGTATTTTGCATATTTGATGATTAAATAGGACAACATAACAGGTAGTCACAAAAATAATCATCAGAACTTGAGCACACTGAAACTGTTATCAAAGGAAGAAAAAGAATAGCTCTTGCAGAACATATTAGATAAATATATAAATTACATGAAGTAGGCATTGCTTATAAAATAAAGTGATAAACTGTAGCTGATCTGCAGTCCAAAACAAACTAAACGAAGGGACATGATACAAAATCCAAATGAGTTAGTGATTATAACCACTTTCCAATGACACAATCATTGCACAACAGAGTGAAAGGGGCCCACACTGTTATGTGACGATGCACTTTGCTCTTGCCCTCACCTGAGTTGACCTCCACAGGGGACTCATGACTCTTGTTCCTGGCATTTTGGGAAAACAAACAGATGCTCCATCAGCTATTTTTAAAATTCAATGTGTGAAATGGTAATAGCATAACAGAATGTTTGGAGTCAGATATAACAAAATAATATATAATTCTCTGCTGTTTTATAACATTATCATTTGCTTCTGTCCTGTCAGTCAAAATGAAAGATACTTATGAAGCTGAATAGTCATTCACTACAAAACTAGTAGTCCTCATTTCATCGCTTTAGTCACTTCAGACAAAATTAACTAGTTCTAAAAATCAAAATCTGTCAAGTTAATTTCATACATTCCTTTAAAATTAAGTTCCTGAAAATCTCTCTGCTGTGATGTGCTGTAGATGAAAATATGTGGCCAGACAGGAAGGCGTGGATGTCCAGGAATAATTTATGTACAGTTTTTCAGTTATATGTACTGTTGTATTGTTTACATTTGTGCATAGTTCTACCATAATGGTATTTCTTATATTTGTTACAAATACGTACGTGACTGTGTTTTTTGCAAAAAGCATTATGCAGTAAATATGTGAAATACATACATATGTATGCATTTCACATATTTCACATATAGCATTGGGTGGCAGCTCTCATTGAAGCAGCAAATGTGAAGAATAATGTTAGAAATGCACCAAAGCGACTGAGAAAAACTGTAATGTATAACATTTCTTAAATAATAATGTTGCTTTCAATCATAACATTTTGCTAATCATAGCACTAGATGTATACTCAGTAATGAATGAATACATGCAATATTGTTCTCCATCCCACAACCAAGTTGACTACGGTTAACTAAATGTACAAGCGAGAGATAGGAGAGAGAGAGAGAGACAAAGATAGAGAGAGAGAGAGAAAGACAGAAACAGAGAGAGACGGAGAGAGAGAGAGAATGAGAGAGAGAGAGAAAAGAGTAAAACAGGAAAAACCTGGCCTTCAACCCCAACCATCCTAAGCTCTCACGCTAACCAGGAGACAGAGTCCCAGTCGCACGCTACTGTCAGTGTGACACCTACGTTTTCCTGCAATCTCACAAAAGACACGGCCACCACCGCAGAATGTGTCTCTGGTCAGAGCCTCAAACCCACAATAACCCGACCGGACACTGCTGTTTTCCCCAAAACAAATCCTACAATTTCTACACAAAATGTACGGCTCTATGA